TGTGTGAGTTCTCAAGTGAGAAAAGCCTAGGAGAGGCTCCAAGCAATACCCAACAGCCCCTTGGTGGAGCTCTTAGTTTTCTAACCCATATCTTTTCTTCTCCTCTATGATGCACCGACACGGACACGTCGACACGGACACGACACGACACAGACACAGGACACGGAATTTTTTAAAAAGATAGGACACGGGTGCGGCTTGGACACGGCATAATAATTTTTTAATATAATATATAGAAATTAAGGTGACATTATATTAAAAATTACCAGCAATAATTTATGTACACTAAAACTATTATCTAAGAGCGTGTACCTAGTGGTACTGAGCTTGTACCGAGCGGTATTGAGCATATATTGAGCGGTACCGAGCATGTACCAAGCGATACCTAGCGGTACCGAGCATGTACCTAACAATACCTAGCGGTACCGAGCATGTACATTAGCGTCGATGTCATTTATCAGTCACTGAGATAGGAGATGGAAAATATCTTCACTGCCAAAAAGAAATGAAAATGAGAATATTCGATGATTGGGAATTAAGTGCGGACGTTGATTTGGTGTTGTGGATAGGAAATAAGAAATTTAGTTTAAATCCCGCAAAATACAATAAATTATATTTAAAAAAATTCATAAAATATTTAAGATATGCGTGTCGGACACGCGTGTCCAATTTGCATTTAATATTTTTTAATCGGACACGTTTTCGGCGTGTCCGACACGTGTCGGAGGAGTATCGGACAAGTGTCATGTCGGACACGGTGTCGGACATTGCACGCCTCTTTGAGGAGAAGTGTCGGTGCATCATAGCTTCTCCTCTACCGTTTCCCCCACCCACCCGTCGGCACACTTGGCCCCAAGGCCACCGGCCACCTCCACTCACCTCCGGCCTCCAGCCGCCGACCCCAGCCTCCAGCCGCCGATCTTCAGCCACCAGACCTCCAGCTGCCGGCCTCCAGCCGCCGGCCTTTCCCTCTGCCACCACCCACCTGAAATAAACCCTCCTCCATCCCCTCCATTTTCCCTCATTACATTTGATTAGTTTCCTAATTTGGAGAGATCACTTGGAGGGAGTTTCAAATCCAAAATTCAAATTTGAATTAGGAGTTAAATGCCTCCTTAATTTCCTCCCTTCATTAAGGAATTAATCGCAGCTTTAAATCTGAAATTTAAATTCAGATTTAAGGATTAATTCACTTAATTAATTGGGGCCCACTTATTTGAAATGAAACACAATCCCCTCCTCCCCCCTATAGGCCGGCCCACTCATCCCTCTCTCTCATTAATTTTAGCCATTATTACTCCCTTAGTAACTCCCCAAATTAAGCCCCATTCAAATTCAAATGGGATTGATGAATCTTTTCATTCCTTAATGAAAATCACTGAGTTGAACAACTCTCATGTATGAAACATTAGATTAACTTGATTGTTTTCTGATCTCCACTTTTACGCGTGTGATTCGGCCTAAGCTTTTATTTTACCGCTCTTTGGTTTTACTTAGTCGTTTGAAATCACTTTAAAGATTTAATTATTGTGCTCTAAATATTAAGCGTGCAAACTCCTTAATTTACTCATTCTTGCCTGTATGTTTCACATCAGATTGCCTATGCGTAGCTTCTTCATAAGACTTCTGTGAACCTATTTGCGTGAAGTATTAAGATTTAATTTATCATTGCTCAACAATTATTTATTAATACTCGCAAACAATTCCTGGTTTCACATCAGTAGCTCCATCATTATGGTTGCTCAATACTTATGAAAATGTTTGATTCAAGATATTGAAAATGTTTGATTCAAGATATGAAAAATCTTGCTCTAATACTAATTTAGTGTGGCTAAAAAAAGTAACATAATTGAAATTATTTGATTAAGGATTCCATAATTTAAAAAAAAAAAAAACTATATAAGATAAAGTGGGGATTTACTGGCTCAAAGATGACTACTCGCCCATAATATTTGTTTACTCAAAAGGACTCCCTCACCCATGCTTGGGGAATCACTTACATAAACCATAAAAATCACTCTCTTCCTCATTCTTAAAGTCCCCCCCCAAAACCCTTACAGATTCATACCCTTCATAACAACAATAACAAGAAATCTTTATCCCACCATGTGGGGTCGGCAACATGAATCATTTTTTTCTCCATTATGTCCTCTTAAGAGTCAAATTCTCATTTAAATCTAATAAAAAGATCATGTTTAATTTTTTCTAATGAAGTCTTTTTAGGTTTACCTCAATCTTTTTAAAGATAGGTCAGATCTAATACATCTACTCTCCCAAAACAGTCATCATAAGATGACATTTTATGTGACCAAACCATCTAAGGAGACTCGCTTTAATCTTATCTACCACTACAACAAATCCAACTTTTTTATATGTATACTCCTTTCAATTCAATCTCTAAGTGTAAAGCCACTCATCCACCTAGCATCCTCATCTCTACAATACTTCATTTTATGCTTCTCTTTTAATAGCCAACATTCTATGCCATAAAGCATTGCAGATCTCACCACAATCTTATAAAATTTTCCCTTAAGTTTGATGGGTACTTTCTATCACACAACAGGCCTGATGCATTCCTCTACTTCAACCATTCAACTTGAATTCTACTAATAATATTCCCATCTATGTCACCAGAGCTTTGAACAATAAACCCAATATATCTAAAACATGCACTCTTTTTAATGACTTGCTCACTCAATGCCACAATTCCATCACTAAATCTATTACTACTAAAGTTATACTCAATGTGTTCAATTTTAGATCTACTCAAACGAAAAGCATTAGACTCTAAGATTTACCTCCATAATTCAAGTTCGTCATCAACTCCTTCTCTAGACTTATCAACAACAAGAATATCATCAACAAAAAGCATACACCGCTATATATCATCTTGCAAATGTCTAGTAAAAACATTCATGAGTAAAGAAAAAGATATAGGCTTAAAACTAATCCTTGATGTAATTCAATTGAAATAGAAAAATAGTCGGTCAAACAACCTTGTGTTTGAATACAAGTAATAGCCCTTGTATGTATCCTTAGTGACTTAAATATAAGCATTATAAACTCAGTGATGAAGACATCAGAGATCAACGGCTACGATCTTGAGTTATTTATTTATATGCTTTTGTACTAGTTTATTTCATTTTATTGTTTTTCCCTTTATACCCTTATGGATGGTCATGTAGTGTTGTAGCCCGAAGGGCATTTCATTCTTTGTTTTTTTTTTTCTCATGAGGCCTATTTATAGGCTAGCTTTCTTGTATTGAGGGGATGATTGAATGAAAATTTTGCTCTTGTGTTCTATTTGTGAGTTCCTTCTTGAAGATCTCTTAGTGAGTTCTTTTTCCTAGATCTCTGTGTGAGTTCTAGGGAAAGCCCAAGGTGAGGGTGGGAGAAAGCTTCTCTTCTCGAATTGAGAGCATTGTATCCGTGGAAACTTGTAAGTCTTTTAATATTCAAGTTATTGAAGTGTTTGTGAGTGTTTTCATCCAAGAAATTTCGCATTTTTCCATCGTTTTTGGGCTGTTTTGCTTGGATTCCGAAAATTACAAATCAAGGTCCATCAAACTCCTTATAACACTTTTTGGGAAACTTTATCATATGATTTCTCTAAATTAATAATATCACATATAGATCCTCCTTTTTTATATATATAGATCCTCCTTAATCTCCCTATAGTTCTCCATCAAATCTCTCAACAAATTATAGCTTCCATAGTAGATCTACCCAGCATGAACCCAAATTGATTTTGAGAAAAATTAGTATCATGTTGTAAACAATGCTTAATTACATTCTCATAATTTTAATGTCTGACACATTAACTTAATTTTTCTATAATTCGTAAACTCTTGTGCATCATCTTTATACTTAAAAATAGAAACTAACACTCTCCTTCTCCACTCAACTGACATCTTTTTAGTCTTCAAAATAATACTAAAAATTTTAATAAGCCGAAAAATCCTTTGATCACATAAGCCTTTCCACACTTCTATTAGAATATAATCATGTCCTACTATTTTTTCATACTTCATTTTCTTTAAATCTTCTCAAACTTTGATTTTACTAATATGATAAAAATAAAATTTTCTATTTTTATTTAAGGGGCTAAGATCATTAAATTCAATCATACTCTTACAACCTTCATTGAAAAATTTATCAAAATATTTCATCAGCCTACGTTAAATATTCTCTTCTAAGAAAAATATTTTTTTATCTTCATCCTTAATGCACTTAACAAGAACTAAATCTTTACTTCTCTTATCTCTTTGTAAAATACTCTTACAACCTTCATTGAAAAATTTATCAAAATATTTCATCAGCCTACGTTAAATATTCTCTTCTAAGAAAAATATTTTTTTATCTTCATCCTTAATGCACTTAACAAGAACTAAATCTTTACTTCTCTTATCTCTTTGTAAAATCAAAGTTGACATGAACTAAATCTTTACTTTTCTTATCTCTTTGTTTAGCTAACTTATACATACATCTTTCACCCTCCTTAATATCTAATATATTATATAAATCACTTAAAGCTAAATTTTTTGTATCATATGTTGTTTTCTTAGATTCCCTACAGGCCCCTAAATATCTTTCTCAATTTTCTGAACCTTTGCACATAAACTAATTTTTATAATAAAATTTTTTATTTTTTATCTTTTCTTGTATATTTTGATTCCACCACCAACTATTTTTACTACTAAAAGTTTTTTCGTTTGATTCTCGAAGCACGTACTTTATAATATTCTCAATATCACTAGCTACTTTTTCCCAAGTAACATTAACTTTTTATGAACAACCCAATTCTTAAGATCTTGAATCTTATTCCCAAGTAACATGAATCATTTTTCTCCTCTTTGTCCTATTAAGAGAAAACAAAGGAATGATTGTCTTAAATTCATCAATGAACAATGGTTGTAACACATGGCTTCAACTCAAAAAAATATTCATGTGAAAGAAGACATGTAAGACACTAAAGTATAAAATAGTAAAAGTTGACAAACCTGAACATATGCATACTTGTTGAAGAACCGAACTAGTGTCTCGACAAGGTGAAATAGAAAATCAACACAGCAAAGCAAACATTCATTGCTTCCAATCTTTGAACGAATTCCTCTTATCTACATTTTCGAATAAACATATATTGATAAGTACAAGCCTAGAACAGAAGAAACTAGTTAAGAATAAATCTCATCCTGGGTCACTTTTGTGGAAATCAATCCCATTAATGGCTGAAACAAATTCACTGAAACAAAAGAAATACCTCCCATCGCAATGTCCGAATGGCAGCGGTGAAAAGCGAACCATAGCAAATGCTTCCAAAAGAAGTAGTCACAGCAAATCTTAGTGATTTGAGCAATGGTTTTGGAGGCATAGATGCTGAACTTCGATCGCCATGAATGAGAACAAGGAAAACCATGCCAGATACTATAACATGAACTGTATTGCAAAGAACAGCACCAGTCCAGAATAAACTCACAGAAAAAATCTGCAATTTTAAAAAAGAAAGCACTGGACATATAATCTGTGATATGCAAACAGAACAACCAAAAAACTGCATAATATGAACAACTTGACCGCAGAGAAAAAAACTTGCCAGCTCACCACAAGTAGCCACCAGGTTATGCTATCATTCATGCTCGAGGCAATAATTCCAGATACTCCAAATGACCACAAAGCCATCCAACAAAGCATGATGAACAAAAATGCATAGGCTACTCTCATAACTTCAGGAAGATCTCGAACCATCTTTACAGACTTTTGCAATACTAACATTGTAAAGGGAAACCTATCAAAAAACACCACAGTAAACATACTCCAAGATACTGAAAAGTACAGTTATCACGACAAATATAGAAAACAAATAAAACTCTTTAGAATGCATATCAAAGGAACATTTGAACCTAATGTACTATCAGTGATGTGAAACCAATAGGAATTCCATTAGAGATTATAAAGAAAATGATTTAAGCTTTGCAATATAAACTAATGTTTCACAAGATTAGATACTTAGACTTAAGGCTATCAATAATGTAAAGGCAATCAATTACAAGATAGAATAACAATTACTTAAGAATGATCTCAATCATAAAGATAAATTTAGATATTGTAAACAAGAGATCCCACGCTTAACAAATAGAAAAGTCACCTTCAGTTTCCCTCACTCAAGCTCGTCTAGTAAGGATTAGTGGAAAATAATCTTAACAAGCCAAACGATGCCACCAAAGTTGAGAAGACACCTATGGTAGTAGCCCAACGAAAGTTCGCCATAGAGGGAGGAGACGTGGGTGGGTACCAAATAATCCGTCAACGTCCGGGTGGTAGATGCTCTTCAATTGATGACGTCAACATGAATAAGGTGTGATTGACGTAATCTTCTATGGAGTTATCCACTTATGGATTGAGGTCGAAGAAGGTGGATTGATGAATATCCACTAAACTTTGATTGTCGTAGAGGAATCCACAATCACGATCCGGATCGACCATGCACTAGTCAAGGGGATTGTGGATGGAGGGAGGCCTTCTTCTTTCTTTGAGTGTAGTTCATGAGGCAAGAAGGTTTCCAAGATGCGAGAAGGAAGAAGGGCAGCTAAGAGAAGTGGGCTTGCTTTTGTGAAATTAGGGTTTGGGTTTGGAGAGAGCAAGTAATATAAAATCTGAAATTAGCTTCAGATTTTAGCAAAATAGAAAAAAGGGATTTAAGAATTTGAAATTTGAAAATCAAATTCAGGTGGAGGGAGATTAATGAGGAGAGAGGAGGGAGATCCCATGGATGGGGTCGGCGCCTCGGCGGCATGCATGGTGTTGGGAGGAATTTGTGGGAGTAATAAAGATTCCTAATTCATGAAACTAAATTAGGAAGAAAATAATGAGGTCCAATCTAATTTAAAATAAATTAGATTCAATTTAAAAACTTTCCTAATTTAACGTGGTTAATTTAGGAAAGTATTCAAAATTCAATGAATTTCAAATAGAATGAATTCTTTCCCAAATTATGTAGGCTAACTTAGGAAGGTCTTAATGAAGATTGAAATCAACATTAAGAGGGGGGGAAGGTGATGTGGCCGGCGGTGGGCTTGGGAAAGAAGGGGCTTGGCCGGTGGGGGAGAAAGGGAAGGGAGGCCGGCGATCTAATGGGAGGTGGGGAGAGTGGCCAGTGGATGAGGGCTATTTGGCGGCTGTGGGGAAGGGCGGCCGACGGGTGAGGAGGATTAGGGAGGCCGGCGGTGAAGTAAGAGGAGTCGGACCACGAGCCCCGGACACTTCCAGCGACTGGTGGATATTGCTTTGCCCACACCTTCAAACTTTGCCACTCAAGAACTCACAAGCTCTAGAGAGAAAACAAAACTTTTATTTCATTCATCAATATCTCTCATACAAGATGAGGACCTTATATATAGGCTTCCAAACAATTAGAAAAGAAAGATAAGAATGCCCTCAGGACTACAACTCAAACACAAACAGATAAAGGGTACAATCGTCACAACTAATAAAAGAAACACTAATACAAAATAAAAAAAATAAAAAATAAAGACTGCTGATCGAGGCCGTCGCTCTGCGCTGCTTCCGATGATAGACATTCTAGAATCTCCTGCTTATGTCCCATCAAGCAGCTTTTAGAATAAACTTAAATACTTTCAAATTAACTTAATAGCATGACATGAACCAATCAAAATACAGTTTAATAGTTATTTTCTTGTTTTTCAAACCTTCTTAGGAACTATTTATAGTCGATCCTGTACCACTTCAAATCTTAAGCATTTTGGACTTGCCGTCCATATTTATATTTGTTATTAATAATAAATCTTGATAGTGGGATGGGTTTACTGAAATCCATTATTATGATCATTTAACATGGCATCCAATTACCAACCTTGGGCTCATAATGGGATCAAATATATTAGAAATTCCACCACCAAGTGGCATGAAACTAGTAGCCACAAAGCACACAACCGAACAATTCAGCTTAATATGCATGTAAATTAGATAAGAATTGTTTGGATATGCCAAAAAACATATTGGTTATTGAAATAATATAAATGCTGGCAAATAATAAATAAGTTTCTTGAATCATTCCAAAAGATGCTTCAAAATATCACCTAGGCTCAAAAACAGCCATAGATATGATGCAGCTTCGAATTTCAAATAGTATTTCCACTGCTATGTAGAACTTTTATTTTCATAGATGTTGAAAATTATAACATTTAGGGGTGTATATTTGGGTGTTGATAAAAAATTATAGACAACAGAAGGGCCCCTTTTCTTTATTTAGAAACATTAGTGGTTAAAGCCATTAGAACTTACACAGCATACCAGAGAGAAATTTCAATACTTATTATCGTGTTTTCCATAGGTCCATGTAAAGCCCATCACCATCACTAGACTAAGAATTATTCATGAAATTGAAGAACATACAATATTGCTGTTCAAATATTATCTATAACTCTTCTCTGTAAACAAGCATATTTGTTTGTTTCATAAGATATGGTTAAATTTGCAGCAGTCACTTTGAAACAAAAACAAAACTACAGCAGAATCAATGCAGTAACTTTACATTGCACAGATTCTGTCATGGTTAAAGTATTTTTGAAAACAAAAAATAGGCAAATTTCTATATAACATCTAAATCCTGTTTATTTAACACCCATATACTACTATATATGATTAGAGCACCCAAATTTCTAAAAGCATAACAAAATTGGCACCCATATATTTTTTTCTTTTATTAAACTCTCAATGATTTTGAGGTGGTACATGCAAATACATGAGCTTTTTTACCTTGGGAGTTCAATCTGTAAATAAGAATGATTTTGGTGGTATGTATGCAATTTCCCCCCTAAAAAACATACTACAACATGTCCATGATATTCTACATTCTAAATTTATACAAATGTGAATCAATCATGAAAGAACAAGTAAAAATTATACTGCAATTTCACTCAAAACAGTGAAAACAAAATAATAAAGCTTGAAAAACCATTGCAGGAAGTCGTCGAATCAACAACAAAAGCAACCCAAGATTACAATAAAAATATCTCATTTCAAAACTTTTGTAGGTATAGCATGGAATTGGATAACAATTTTATTGGAAACAAGACCATCTTCAAGACATGAAATCAAAATAAAATAGCTTTGGAAGGGAGAAGTGCCTATCTAAACAAAGTATTTTAAAAAAGAAATATCATATAGTATGTCTATTACTTTCTTTTTTTGAAGAAAAACTCTGCTATGGACAATATTAGCAGCACAAGACTAATGTAAAACATACCATTTCAAAACTTTTATAGCTAAATATCCTTTGGTGATTCTCAATTATCAAAGAATTAGATATCTTTACTATTGTTGAAATTTAATAAGACCATCTTCAAGAACAAGAAATCAAAATAAGGATTTATCATTGGAAGGGGGAAGAAAAGTACCTATCCAAAACCGACATCACATAGAGAAATTGCAGGACAGCCCCAACAGCGAAAGCGACCCCCCAGAAGAAATGTTCCCCCCAGAAACAAAGCACGCTGATCACAGCCAAGTAGGTGGTGAGTATATGCACCGACACCTTCATCATCAGGCCAGCCCTTGACCCCAAAGCCAACCACGCCCACGCAAGCGCCGTCCCCACCGCCCCAGCCGCCCCATACATCGGCCAGAACTTCTCCGTTAGTTCCGGTGGAGGTGAGTCGCCGCCGCCAGCGGCGGACGCGGCGTTGGTAATGTTAGTGAACCGGTCGATTTTGAGCCGATCGACCTCCCCAAACCGATTCATGCCGAGCAGGAAAAGTAAAAAGCCGAAGGCGAGAAGGTGGATAACGAAGACGAAGAGCCAGAACACGTCTCTCCACTGCCTCGCTGGCTCCTCCGCCGGCTGCGAGGAGCTACGTATGTCGCTTCCTCTTCCGTCCTGCAACTGCTGCGTCAGCATGGAGAAGCGAAACCCTAGAATACGTACTACAGTTCAAGATCAACGAAGGGGGTCACACTTTTACAGTACCTCTTCTTCTTCCTCGGCAGTGGGCGAGGATCCGCCGCCGTCGGTGTCAAAGAAGACGTCCGGCGGTGGTCGCGCCATCGAGATTCCAGCGGCTCTGATTGATTGGGGAAGAAAGAGAACTGGGCGAATTGGAAAGCCAGAGGGAGTTAAAAATTGAAGCTTTGAATGGAATGAAATGAGCGGAACCGCCTGCAGTTGACAAATGTAGAAGTGGGAGAAATGGGAGAGTGGAGATTTTGGTAGTTATTCGGATTGGTAACTTCCAAGATGCATCTTTTCCTTTTTGTGCGTTTTGGAATTTTGCGCAGGACTGGTTTTCAGGCTCCTGGTGTGGAATTAGTCGGCTTGTTGCCTGGTTGATTTCGCCATATGAGGAGCTGTTGTTGCAGAGTTTTCAAATAAATTTGCTCTGGAAAATGAAAGGGTTATGCACACATTTTGTTGACAAAGTCAATTGAACTTTTTAGGGAACTTTCTAAAAATCTAGTTCTGAGCAGTTAATTAACCTGAAATTCAAAATTAAAATTTTTTTACTCTTTTATATTTTTGAAAAAATATATTTAAAATTTTTTATTTAGATCAAAAATCTTCATTTTAGATTTGGATTTTTTTAAGTATGACATTAATCAAAATTAATTCAAAATCATTAGAACAATGTTCAAAGCAATATTCGATAAAAAATGCGATAAAAATTTGATGAATGTGTTACTATTATTTGAACTTTATATAATAAGAATTAACTTTATCACACAACTCACATTGGTCTGTTAGTTAGGAGTTTAGTCTACCAATTAAGTGGTCTTGGATTTAAGTTTTTGTGTATATGTTGTGTGTGTGAATTTTTCTTAATTGGCAACAACAACAACAACATCAAGCCTTTATCCCACTACGTGGGGTCGGCTACATGAATCTTTTTTCTCCATTGTGTCCTATTAAAAGTCAAATTCTCGTTTAAATCTAATAAAGAAATGTCATTCCTAATATTTTCTAACCAAGTCTTTTTAGGTCTACCCCTACCTTTCTTAACATAAGTCAAATCTAATACCTCTACTCTCCTAACCGGGTCATCGCAAGGCCGCTGTTTTATGTGACCAAATATCTAAGGTGACTTTCTCTAATCTTATCTTCTACTAGAGCTAATCTTTCTTAATTGGCCTAAATATATAAAAAAAAAAAAATCAACTTTATCCAAAAAAAACTTTTGATCTAGTTTCAATTTTTAAATATAGTTCGAATAATTTTCTTAAAAAATTGCTCAAATTTTTATAAAATAGTTGAATTGCAAAGTCGAATAAGGTTAACAAAAACTTTGAATATGGTTTACTTATTAAACAAAAAGATATTATTTAGGCCTCGTTTGTTCGGTGTTTTTTCTCCTCTTCTATTTAGAAACAGCGAAATTATTTTTGGTCACTGTTTGGATGGAACACTTCTATAGAAATATATTTTAGGGAACTTCATTGTTCTATTGTTTTGAGAAGCTTTTTGATATTTGCTTATCCGTTAGAAAACTCTATTCCCTTAACCATTGTTTCTAAAACTATCTTTTATAAAAGGAGAGGAAGAACAACACAATAATCATAATATAATAAATTATACGGAACACTCAATTGAGTATAAAATTATCATATAAAGTGTTACATTAAATAAATGTTGTTACAATATTTTACAGTAATTTGTTGAATATAATCATAACAATTTAAAGTAGCAAACAAAAATTTTGATGTTAAAAAAAAAATCACAACATATATAAAATGTTAAAATTGAATTTGTCCCTCTTATGTCTCACCTTAGTGTTATAGTATTGAAGTTTTGAAATATAATCAAATATATATCAATATGAAATGACCAAATATGTCCACTTCGTAAATTGTGCTATTGATGATTATTGGGATTGAAATCATTTTGATCACACAATAACATATATATTTTAAATATGTAAATGTGAGTTCATATTATTAAGCTGAAAAATTCAAGATATAATCAAAATTGTTTATAAAAATAAAAAATAAAAAAATAAGCCTTATAGGCTCACCATTGCATTGATCTTCAGTAGCACATCACTAAAGAGTACAAAATTCAGCAAGGACAAATGTTATGTCATTATCTCTCATTTTCAACACAAATGATATTATTCACTTCAAATTATATAATACTTTTTTTTTTTTTCATTTTATCCCCAGCTCGATATATAAATTGAGAGTATTGTAATGTCTACCTATAAGTATGATTACAACAAACATTTAAATCCATGACAAGATAATTGAAATGAGTCGATTTCAAAAGATATAAGTAGTGCGAAAAAGAACTTCAAACTTTATTCAAAGTTCTATCGAATAATGATTGATTGTTCTTTGACACATGATTGAAACTTGTTCGACTATTGTTTAAACATTATTCATACATACAACCAATCTTCAAATAAGCTTTGAACTATATTCGATCATGAGTCAAACATATTTTGATCATGGTCAAAATAAGTTTTGTGTGATATTTGAAGCTCGTAATCTCATTTCTAATATCTTATTGGGTTTCAGGTTCATAGTGCACACAAACACCTCACTGGGGATGCAAACTTTGTCAAATGCATAACATTACTAATCTTCAATAACAATCGTCGGTTAACTAGAGACAGAGATAGAAATGTTGCATTGAAACTTTGAACCATTGCTCACAAATCAAAATCGCCAAAGAAAATGAAGGTGCCAAGAATAAGAACGGTCAAGTAACTTCTTGCTCGAAATGTTGCTTGATAATGAACAAGCATTTCTTTGAATTTCAAGAATATTTTGGTTTAAATGAAATTTTCAAGCATATTTCTCTAATTTTGAGCATCATAAGCATAGATAAAGTCAAAATTTTCATTTTTAATGACTTTTTAATATTGATTGAAATTAATCACAAATTTATGAGCATATCCAAACACTCATTAGGTTTTGAGTTTCTTCAATAAATTTGATAGTAATCTTTTTAAATAATAAGTCATAAATTATATAATATATTATATGGCTCTAATATTTTATCTAGATAAACAATCTTCTAAATTATAACTCATCTAATGTGAAAAGAGTAGTGAGAGAATAAATAACATTTATTTTCTTAAGATATGATAAGAAAGTTGTACTTTATATTTTTCTTTCGATTTTTAATAATTATAAGTTATATTTATAAAAATATGAGACATAATTACTTTCACTCTTTGCATGTTATGTTTATGAATGTAATCATATAAGTTGAGTTCAATTGTTTGCTTTGATATCTGTTCCGTTCAGTTCTGTCTGATTTGATCTGTTTCGTTCTGATCTGTCCGATTTGATATCTGTCTGATTCTGTTCTGATTTCTGTACGGATTTGTCTGATGTGTTTGGTTTTGAGATTTTGAGAATTTTGATTGGAGGTTTGTTGCTTTGCTGAGCTGTTGAGCTCACTCTTGTTTTCTGGTGGTTTTCAGGTTCTGGGAAAGGGAAGGAAGTCCAGGAATAGATTTCTGAGTCTGATCAGTATAGGTATTATTTTGTACTTTTAATTTTTGTACAGTCATGGCTTTTCTGTTCTGTCTTTCTTTCTGGTTAAAAGCTATGTACTGTATTTGTAGATGATTATTTTGAGGAAAAGAAAAATATAGATGATTTGTTCCGCTGTGTTTGATGATTCATAGTAGCTCTGTGTCTGTGTGTCTGTTTGAGTTAAATAATTTGGAAGACTCAGTTCCGAACCAAATTCCATAACCAGATCCTGGTCAGTAAGTTAGTCCGTTCGTTCCGTGTTGTTCCGCTGTGTTTGATGATTCATAGTAGCTCTGTGTCTGTGTGTCTGTTTGAGTTAAATAATTTGGAAGACTCAGTTCCGAACCAAATTCCATAACCAGATCCTGGTGAGTAAGTTAGTCCGTTCGTTCCGTGTCGCGACCCGGTGCGAGCGGGATCCGTCCCGGATCGGGTTGGGTCGTGACACAAGCACTCTTCAAATAAGCTTTGAACTATGTTCGATCATGAGTCAAACATATTTTGATAATGGTCAAAATAAGTTTTGTGCGATATTTGAAGCTCGTAATCTCATTTCTAATATCTTATTGGGTTTCAGGTTCATAGTGCACACATACACCTCACTGGAGATGCAAACTTCATCAAATGCATAACATCGCTAACCTTCCATAACAATCACCTGATAACTTGAGACAGAGATAGAAATGTTGTATTGAAACTTTGAAAAATTGCTCACAAATCAAAATTGTCAATGAAAATGAAGATGCCAAGAATAAGAACGGCCAAGCAACTTCTTGCTCGAAATGATGCTTTATAATGATCTAGCATTTCTTTGAATTTCAAGAATATTTTGATCTAAATGAAATTTTCAAGCATATTTTTCCAAAAAAATAAAAAATTGACATTCTCTAATTCTGAGCATCATAAAGATAAAGTCAAAATTTTCATTTTTAATGAATTTTTTAATATTGAGTGAAATTAATCACAAATTTATGAGCATATCCAAACACTCATTAGGTTTTGAGTTTCTTCAATAAATTTGATAGTAATCTTTTTAAATAATAAGTCATAAATTATATAGTATACTATATGGCTCTAATCTTTTATCTAGATAAACAATCTTCTAAATTATAACTCATCTAATGTGAAAGAGTAGTGAGAGAATAAATAACCTTTATTTTCTTAAGATATGATGAGAAAGTTGTACTTTATATTTTTCTTTTGATTTTTAATAATTATAAGTCATATTTATAAAAATATGAGACCTAATTACTTTCACTCTTTGCATGTTATGTTCATGAATGCCATCATATAAGTTGAGTTCAATTTTATTTTATTTATTTTTCTATCTTGGATGACTAGTTTATATGTAATAATAATTACAACCTATCAAATTTATCATTATTATTATTTTAAAGATAATAATAATACACTAATAAAATAATTCTTACTTTACTTCAATAGATCCAAAATAATCCTTTTAACATAGATCTTTCCCATCAATCTCAATGAAGCATACACTCATCTCAAATAAAGTCATCAAATTCATATAGTTAGTATGATGCATCATCCAAAATTTTATCACATCATGCATATTGATATAAATATTAAAATTAGAAGTTTATAAAATTAAATTTATGATCATCTAAATTTCATTTTTCAGTAAACTATAACCTAAACAAAAGTTTCAGAAAGTCAAACCCAATAATATAGTTTCTTCCATTTTCAATAAATTTGTAGTCAAGCCACCCTAATAATATTAAATGTGTCTTCATCTGAGTTTAAACGGATCGAAATCAAGTACTTTAAAGTATATTTAAAAACTTCATAATACTATTGAAGAGACCCAATGATCTCTGAATCGATGCAATTACAACAAAAAATGAGTGATTTAATGAGTTCATCTTCGATAAATTTTGATATCATTAAGGTATTA